GGGGGGGGGGCGATGGGCGTTCGCCCGAAATCGCGGCATTTGAGACCTGGAGAGCGTGGGATGATGAGTGAGCGAGGGGGGGGGAGGAGAGGAGTGAAATGTGGGAGGAAAGAGAGCAAAGTCATACGGGATGCTGGCTGGATCGTCTATTGGCATTACCAGTGCAAGACTAACCTCTTCGTTTGTTTCGTTACAGATATCCGTACTGCGGAAGCAGAACAGTGAGTTGCAGAGAGACGCTCACGAGTTCCGGACCAAGGCTAATAATTCCGTAAGTCATCCGCTTAAGATTGTCGATTAGTACGCAAGCTGTTCGCCTAAATTCATTGGCTGCTCGCGGCGGTGAGCCATGCGACGGTGGTCTTCTCACTTTGTTAAATCTTAACGCTTGGACAATGTAGGAAAATAACTTTTTCTTATTTACATTTTCCGCTTAGTCTAACGAGCGTTCAATACATCCTCGCCATACAATGCCAACGGACATGTATTTTAAACTGGCTTATTCCAAGTTGTTATACGTGTTTATCCCTATAACTGCTTATTGTGTATAACTGTCGATATGTGAAGAAGATTGTACAAGTAAAGTTTCTGTATATTATTTGAGTGTTAAGTAGAAGGACGGCTAGCCTTACCTACAGGCTAAGATTCATTCCAAGATTATCTTTTTATATTCTAAGCGGTGAGTCATTCCAGATACGAAGTGACAATAATTTTGCTCTATAAGATTCAATATGTGTAAGTCTAATTATTCATGTTGACATTATTACTATGCATAATGAATTATACATGAGAAACGCATAAGAAAAAATTTAGAGCCTTAGTAGAGTGCTCGGTTATTATGGGTCAGGGATGCGGGTCCTGTATTTTCATCGAAATCCTCGTGTCATTATTGTACGAACAATAATTTAATCCTCGTTTAATCATAACATCGGTCTTCCACTATTCCACGTACAAATTGAATGCATAGCAATCAATATATAATGAAAATGCAATGGCTATGTAAGTATTTATTACTGAAAATTCGTCCGAAGGAAAAAATATTTTTAGTTAGCGATTAAAAGTGCGATAAGAAAGAGGCTTTAATTTGTAATGACAATAAATATGATATAACAATATATTATCTTAACAAGTAAAATTATAAATATTACGATAAATTTGTTTAGACGAGTCGAGCATTATATAAGGTTTTAATATTAATAACTTTGAAATTAATCGAAATATAGTCTTATTCGACACGTTAAATTAAAAACTTTAATTTATTATTTTATCCATTATTGTAAAATATTTTATCTAGTTCACTTAATATATATATATATATATATATATATATATATATATACACACACACACATATATGTGCATACGTAACTTTAATAGTTGCGATAGTCTATGTGGGAAAAACTGATTCTCATCGGGCGATTGGCATTAAATTTATTGGGCGATTATTTTACAAAAGTTTGCAGATAATTTAATTATTAATTAAAATTTAATTTACGCTCCTCTTACCTCGATATAAACATCGAGAAAAGTTTCCAAAACATTTTAAAATTCTTCGTATTAAGGACTTTGTTTATTACAAACGTAAAGCTAACTTGTAGCGCTATAAAATATGACATTAATTAATAATCTAAGATTTTTTTTTTTTTTTGTTGTTTTTTTTTTTTTTGTCATTTAATAATCACAAGTTTGATAATTTCGTAGTTACATTTGCAATTATTCTCGCAATTTTTGCTATACAATGAAATCAAAGTTGTAGCGTGAAACATATTTCCGATGCGGATAAATTCCATGCTCGCGCGAATTTATTAATCCACATTAAATATTTCTTATTTGTTTGTATTACAAGGAAAATTTAATTTTGTAATACATTTTATCGCTGTGATTTTCTTGTGTATTTAAATTTAATAAAACGATAGTGCAAAATCCATCCAGTCAGTTAAAAAATGATAATCTTTCCGTCGCTTGAATAAAGCTTCGTAGAAAAAGTTAATAGTCTTTGTATTTTATCGATTATTTTCTAATTACAAGAGATACCTTCGTATATTTAAATTGACGCAACTAGTTGATAAAAAATTCTACTTTAAATGATACTAATAGAAATGTTATGAATAATCATAACAATAACGGCGACGTCGATGACGCCGACGCTACGATGCAACAACAACAACAACAACAACAACAACAAAAACAATAACAACAACGACAATAACAGCTAATAAAAATAATTAATAATAGAAATTAACAATAATAATGAATAATTAATAATATGTAATAATAAATTCCATTGGATTATTTATCCTACTAATAAATGTTGAACAAAGAATTGTAATCGATGAAAGTGTAGCTAGAATTCACAAGTTATTCACCGTTACCACAATTAAGTATCGGTCTTGCGATGCAAGGAGAATAACATCCAAGTCATTTTTTATGCGGGTACCTTCCACAATTACCTACGTTGACTTTCAGCGTTGGTCGAACTAATGTAATTCCTACTCGATCGGTACCCTGTTTCTCTATATTTTTAAATTAAGTTTTAAAAATAGATATGCATTGTTTAGTATTTTGTAATAATTCAGTGCGCAGAGGGACTTTACAGCAATGACGGGTAATTTAATATTAAATGGATTTGCAAGAATTTATAAGACGAGAATATGAATAAATTAGCTAACTAAGTGAGAAAGGAATGAACATTTTCCACTTGATAATTTGACATTATAAGCTCGTCCTCGGGCCCCCTTCTTACATTTTCTAATTGCAATAATATACGTTTTTCGACTGTATAATTTGGTTGTCTCTTACTCGATGTATCGCATTAATAATTGATTATAGTACCGCGACATTTCGAATCCTGTAAATCATCAAATTTCGAAGCTGGCAACGAGCCGAATATGAAAGATAAAATGCCGGGCAAAAGGGCGAGGGAGGGACGGGATGGGAGGCGGTGGTGGGGTGAAAGAAGCAAAGTCAGAAGAAAAAAAATGAACGAGTCTCTGAGAAATTCGAACGTTTTCGAGTGTTTAAAAGCTGAAAGCACTCGCGGAAGAAGCGGCACATTCATTTCTTTCCTGCGGCGCGGCATATCTTGGACCGGCAAACAAAGGATCGGCCCTTGGTCTTGTGTATTTTTGACAGAGCTACTTCCCTCCGTCTCCTCCTACCCCTCTCCCCCTCGCCCCGTCAACGACCTCAAGCCACTATACTCGGCATAACACCGCAACGATGCCGCCTAACCCTCCCTCACA